GTACATATTTTGCTCTTGGATACAAGTACCAATTACAACAATAACATATCCAATATGATTCCACAATTAGGGTCGCTAGAGAGGGTGGGGTGCAAGCAGACCTTATCCCTACCTTGTGTGAGGTAGAGATGCGATTTTCGGTAGACCCTGTCTCGAGATGAATATAACAGTACCTTGCTCAAAAAAAAAAAATGTTTGTTATACGTGTTAATTATTACTGATTTTTTGGTGCGGTTTCACAATCCTCTATTTTAATAATCTTGTCAATGGTCTTTTCCTTTGACTTCTGAGCCCTAAAACTTTGTCATGGAAAACATTATTGGTTGGTTTAATTCTTTCCCTATTTTAGAGACTAATTGTCAATATTTGAACAGCAGATCTACAGCTGTTTGGTTTGCTTGTTTTCTTTCTCATCTTCTGATTTAATACTTAAATCAATTAGTCGATTTTTCTCACATATCTTGTCGCAAAATGCAAAAGGATGATATAAGGCGGGTTAAAGAAATCTCATTGATAATTGAAGGAACACAGGAAATTTTGGGGACCCATTCATGAAATATCTCTAAACTGCTCCCTTTCTATTTATACTTTACACGGTTTTCATACTAGTTTAACTTGTAGACTTTGATAGTGTGATCAATTATTATATTATCGCTATCTAAAGATATATAATCACAAACTTGCTGTAAGAAGGTAAAGTGCGCTAATAGAGCAAATTTGTTTAAATATATTTCACACTTTAGATGCATTTTAATTAGGGGTGTCAATGAATATTTAAAAGCCGACTAAACCGACCGAACAGTACCGCACCGAATTGATTTTTAGGGTTCTTTTAATAAAACCGTAGGTTTTTATACAAATCTGTAACCTTACCGTTAATTAGGGTAGGTTTTTTATTTTATGAAAATAATTCGAAAAAATACCGAACCGTACCGAATAAATTTACAGATGAAAAATATATTTATATATTAAGTTTGAAAATAATAAAGCATATTCACTAACAAAATTCTAATTCACAAACTTATTATACTATTCCTGCCGAAACTAAATTATTTCCAGCATATTCACTAGCAAGACACATAGTATTCTAGCGATTATAAGTAGCAAATTACAATGTATTGAATATATTTCCTTTCGTATAATTTAGATTTATCTTTTTTGAATATTTAATTTTATATAGATTTTATTCTTGAGTTCCAACTTGGTTAGTATATCTTTCCACTAATGTGATTTATATTTTGTGTCTTTGCTTAGTTTTTTTACACTGTTATAGAATATTTGATGGATACTTTGATCATCTTATATATTTTCTTAAATCATCACCTTTCAAACAGTAAAAATATCTAGAGAGTTTTGATAATTTATACATAATAGTGACTTTTACAAGACACCGAGTCTTTGCATTCTACTAGTAACTTTTAAAAGATAATGAAAAAAATATCGAAAATTAACCGAACCGTACCGATACCGAAGAAAAACCGACATGATTGGGACGGTTTCGGAAAGTCTAATTTTGGTTATACATAATAGAATAACCGAAAAATTGGTATGGTACAAATTTCATAAAATGCCGAACGGAATCATTGACACCCCTAATTTTAATATGTTGTTGTAGGTTACTTGCCTTATATTTTAGGTTACTAAACTTGCTAATTATGTATGGTTACTATATATAGTTACATTTTAGGCAGCCAGACGCTGTAAAATCCACGTATAAAGGTTAAAACTCTCCATGTAATTTAGAGATAGATTAGGGTGATCATTTTAGTTAATAATTGATATAAATGCTAATTATTAAGAAGAAGGGACACCAAAGTCAATTTCAACCCAATCTTGCACCTTCAATATATAATCCCTGCATTGTTGGATATAGGTTCTTTTTTATTTGTTCTTCAATTCTCTAAGCAAATGTGTGTCCCATTTCAAAATCTCTCCTTTTCCAACTTTCATCCACTTTAATTTCTCCAAACTAAAGCTTCTTCCCCCTTCTTTCTGTCTTTTGTTCTCTCTTTCTCTCTTTCCTTTGTGCTGTCTTCAATTGATTAATTATTGCATGGCAACATTGAGAAAAACTGAAATCTCCACATTTAACTCTCACTCTTTCATTTTCTTCTTCACCCTTTTCTTCCTCTTCCTCATTTTTGTTCAGTCTTCTTCTGATCATGATCATGATACTGATTCCTTTAAACCTTCCTCGCAAAATTCATATCATTCCTCTTTAGCTACAGCTTCAATTAACTTGAACTCAAGAAAAATCCCCATAAATCCTAGTACATCTTCTTCTTCATCATCTTCTTCTAGTGATACCTCTAGACAATTTGAAGCTAGTGAGCATGCAGTTCCTAGCGGGCCGAATCCATCATCAAACCGGTAAGTTCAGAGGTGGATTCAAGATTTAAATTTTATGGGTTCAAGCTCATTTATTTTTAAAGTTATGGATTCAAATCTATTATTTCTTGCCATTTTAGTAGATTTCTTACTCATAAATTGCTACTCCGTGTCGAAAGTACCGGGTTCAGATGAACCCGGTACTCTCAAGCTTCATCCGCCCCTGGGTAAGTTAATCTCTTCTTGGCGTTTCCAGGACCTAGAGTCAGCAGCGCAGTTCCATTCCGGTTCCAGGATTTAGAGTCAACAATGAATGTAATCTTATTACATGTATAAATTTTATACCGAACCTTTTCTTTATATGCATAGATAGTTCGAGTTGAAAACAATAAGTCCAATTGTACACACAGAAGAATAGTCTCTTCTTATGCATATATAGTTCGAGTTGAAAACAGTAAGTTCAATTGAACTCCCTTTAGATCCGCCTCTTCAAAGGCCGACAAAGAAGATTAGCAAAAGGAAGCTTGAAAATAAGGATATACATAGGTGAATATCAGAGTTTGTAACGGCGTTTAATATTTATTGTTGTTTCATCATCTATTCTGATCAGCCATTAATGCTACTTGTCTTCTTCACTGATGAGAAGTTTGTTGCTACCTACTAACTTTGTTGTTATCGTCACTATTGTTAGCTAACATTTTGAACTTCTTTTCTCTTCCCTGAATTTGTGTTTTCGTCCTTGTTTTCTTTCTATGGACTTGTATAGCAAGACGTTTTTTTACTTGGTGAGTTTAATGAGTTTTGATAATTAATCTTTACTTGTTGAATTTAATGTATTTTGAGGCAAATTCTACGAACACTCAATTTAACATTACTATTCATGTAGATATGTATGTATCAATCTTTAAGGGAAAGTAGCTGCTCTCAAAATAATTAATAGCCAAAAAAAATATATTTTTTGTATATATATATAATTTGTATATTTATATACAAAAATTATAACTGTACAAATTTTATACACTTTTTTCGGCTACCAAATAAAAATAGTTTCCGGCGAAGGCTAAAAGTGAAAAAAGTCCAATCTCTAATTATGCAACTTTGGTGATATCAGATATGTAGAATCCTCTAGTGAATTTTAAGTTTACGTATAACTGATAAAATATTTCCATCTCGATCATGATCTTCCTAAGTTTACACTAAAGTAATGCGTCCTTAATTTTTCGTATTTTATATATATTGTGAAAAAGAAATAATATGATTTGTTGTAAATATTGTGCGGTAAGTTCTAGTTAGAGGTCACTAGTGCAAATATCTGGAACGTGGTATAAGAGAAGAAGAGAACACACTGTTTTTGAATGTAACATGATTTGAATTGCTTTGGACGTTTCCTTGTGTTTTCTTTAACACACAAAATCCAAGAAAGCTGACCCCAAAAGCATTATGAACCTATGATTTGATAATCACCAAAACTTCATAAAATAGTTTCCTATTCTACTACCAATATTATTGAACAGCAGATCTAGTAAGTGTAAAGTGAAGAAAATAAAAAATAATTCTAGACTATTGGTTTTCCATCTAGTGTTCCGTATTCGTATTGAGGCCGACTAAATCTTGATTCGTACCGAGAAGTCCCATATTTGGGGGTAAAGTGCTCTCTAATAAAAATGATTTTATATCCAGAGTTTGAACACGAGATCTCGGTTAAGGATGAATGAGTACTTACCACTCGATCAGAACCTTTGTCTAATGACTATCAGCTGTGCTTTAATGTTGATGTTATTGGTCCTATGAAATTCTCTCTCGATCCGCCCTAGTTCATTTGAGGCAAATACAATTATATTCACCTAAATTCAGTTATTTCGATGCAAAATATAAATATATATTAAAAATAACTAATAGTTTAATAATTATTAACTTTTGAATTCATAACAAAAAGTACAATGTATTTAGTTTCTAAGGTCCAGAGTGTAGTAGAAGAAGAAGAGGACACTATCTTTTTACCAGATAGCATATGATTTGAATTGCTTTGGACTTTTCATTTTGTTTTCTTCAACACACCAAATCCAAGAAAGTGGATACCAAAGATTATCATGAGCGAATGATTTGATAATCATCAAAATTTCATTGGTTTCCTATTTTTCAAAGAAATTGTAGAGCTGATCTAGTAAAGTGTAAAGTAAAGAAAAATAAAGAACATTTCTAGACTTTTAGCTTTGCCTTAAAATTCATGCTATTCCTACTTTGATATTCTCTCTTTGTTTTATTGTCGTCCCAAGGGGCGGAGGTATTGTATGGTTTAGTGGTCGGACGAACCCAGTACCGTTTGCTTAGACCTATTTTATATTAGAAAATTTATTAAATATATATAAATTTTTAACAGCGAACCCAGTAACTAAACGAGCTATGGGTTTGGTGGTAGATTCAGAACCCATAAACTTCAAATTTTGGCTCCGCCTCTGGTCGTCCCTATGTGTTGGGCGAATCTTTATAGTGTAAGAGAATCTTTACCGGATTATATACTGTTATTCACATATTATATATGAATTATACATATATTATATATCTGCAGATTATCTATTAGAGTTAATTCTTTAGTTTTTACAGTATATAACTTAATTCTTTTATAACATTTGATTTTATTTTTTAATTGGATGATATTTGGAGACATCATGGGGTGTTTCTTGTCTCTATATATTTATTTACCTTCCCCAAAGACTTACTTTTTCTTATGTTTGATCGAACTTTATGGTATTCATTAGAATCCATAACATTTAATTCGAATTATATATGTGTGCCTAAAAAACAAAAATTAACACAGAGAAAAAAAAACCACTGACTCTATCGTGGATTTGCCACTAATGATATGTATGTAAAGCTATAAAAAAAATATTTTTGGCTTTGCAGACAATTTCGTTTGTGGTTGAAGGCCCCTTCTATGTGTTAATTTCTTCTTATTTTTTAAGAATTTTCCTTTGAAACAGCTACTCATGTAATAGAATGTGCCTAGCACCTCTGCCTATGTACTTGAACCGCTCTTTTAAATGTTCCAGTTTATGCAATTTTGGCAATTTATTTGTTTTAAAATTTCCTTTGAGTTGTTTAATTAGAATATTCTGATTTATAGTATTATTTTTGTATAGTTTCCAGATATGTGTATTCATTATAATCTACACGAAAAATCCTCTTGCTTTAAACCTACCATTCTTTTGGAACGGTGAAGTATTGTTATACACACAGTGGCGGAAATATGCACAACTTAGCAAAATGTGTCATGTCACAAAAAAAAACTTTTATATATGTATAACAAAATAATAATTTTCTATAAAAATAATATATAATATATTCATATACAAGACGACACTGCATACAAAAAATAAAAGTAAATACCAATTTAAGATAATAAGTAGAGATTCAAACCAACACAGTCCTAAATCAAATCCCATTTACTGACTGATTCTGATAATTCACCATTAATTGACACCATTTGTACAAATCTTGTGAATGCGACTGTCTACGTATTTATAGGTACATAATTAATACTTCCTTTATTCCCGTTGAGTTGTGATGTTTCGTTTATCGAGGGTTTAATTACATAAACTTTAACCAATATTTTAATATGTATTTTCGCACCATATTGATACGAGAAGAATTGCAAATTATAACGCGTTTCGTATATTTTTCGAATATCTAAATTTTAATTTTAAAATATTGAGATAATCTAATCTAGAATTCCGGTTATGTCCTTTTATTATGAGTTATTATGATTAATATTATAAGATTATTTTTGTAAACCGATTTTGTATTCGTACTTTTATAATAACTAGTCTCTATATCTTTCGTTAATTATATGAGTTATTATTCGTGCACGTATATCTTTCGTTAATCATTATAAAGAAAAATTCTAGTGAAAACAAAATTGACATATGTTTATAAATTTTGTATATTGCATTATTGTGTATAGGTTTGTATTTCTCTCGTCTTTGTACATACATGTTTGAAAGTGAATGAAAATTTGAATCTTTAGCTCGTCGTAGAAAGACTGTAGTCTTAGAAATAAACATGGTAAGTCTCTTTAGGCAATTCATAATAGATTTCAAAATAATAGTGATAATAATTTCATCCAACATAAAATATATTTACTGGTTGAATCCTAGATATAATTTATAAATTTATCTCTTTTATATTTGTTTCTTCCTTTTCATCATCTTATATTTCCCTAAATTTGGTTATATAAAATGTTATTTTTTACTTTATTTTTTCCCTAAAATATCCGGCCAATTTTTTTAACACAATGTAATTCTCCTGCAAATTTCAGGCTCGTCAAGAGGTTCAATGTTCATTATTCACTCATCTGCTTAATACGTATTACAAGTCACATTCATATAATCTATATTTGAGGTCTAAACTTATATTATAAATCAAACTTCTTATGGATCTTAGGCTATAGACTATTTTCATATCATATCTTAATTGCCAAACTTACGGGCAAAACGAAATCTCAATACATTACCTTAGGCACAAATGTCTGCGCAGTCAAATCAAAAGTTGTATTGGATAATCTCTCATTATATTTTACAATAACTGTTATTGATTTCTCAAACTTCTTGCTGGCTCCTAAAATTTCTCATCAAATTTATGAGAATAAATTTACTATGTCATACAAAATACAAATAAGGTGAAAAGTAAGTGAATTGAAAATCTAATTTCATAAGCAGAATGATGAACTACAAAAAGCATCACCAATCAAGAAAATTAACAAGAGCCTACTAATTCTAGCAACAAAAATAAATATGAAATTCTATCTCCTAAAACTAACTGAAATTATAATTCTGCCAAGTACAATCTAGAAGGTATATACGTGACAAGAGAAATTAAAAAAAGACATACCTTCAACCCAAGCTTTGATTATCTGCACGCGTGTCGTATTTCACTTCATACACAATAATATCCGGAAAAAGAATATTCTTATCACGACCCAAAATTCCCATATTCGGGACCGTAATAGCGTCTAATATTTCACTTGCTAGGCAAGCCAACGTTAGAATAATATTAGCCATTTTAAAATAATTTTAAATTAATTAATAACAAAGAAATAAATGCGGAAGTAAAGTCTGAAATGTAGTGAATAATCCATAATAATAGCGATGTCTAAATACCATCCCAGAACTGGAGTCACAAGTACACGGGCTTCTAGAATGATACAAATAAGGGTCTGAATAAAATAAAATTGTCTGAAAGCAAACACACAGCTAAAGTAAAGTGGATGGGGACTTCAGAATTGCGAACGCTGTACAGTTATACCTCAAGTCTCCTCTGGGTAGCTGAAATCCGAGCAAGTCTATGGTACACCGCTGGGACCAACTCCGAAATCTGGTACAACCGACCCCATGTACTGGTAAGTGCCGAGCCTAACCTCGACGGAGTAGTGACGAGGCTAAGGCAGGTCGCTTACATTAACCTGTACGCAATAATAATAATAACAATAATAATAATAATAATAATAATAATAATAATAATAATAATAATAATAATAATAATAATAATAATAATAATAATAATAATAGGAATAGTAGTAAGACCAGTAAATAATTTTGATAATTGAAATCAATTCAGCAGTCACAATCCCTCAACTTGTTTCC